AATGGCTCAACCTCAAGAAGATGACAAGTTAAAGCGACGTTGTACTTTTTGGAAGAATGGACTTTATTGGTCTAATGGTCATGGTGTAGGATCACTGGTAGAGATTGTGGATGAGAGCCAGTGTGTACTAGTAATGATGTCCTGTGAGAAAGGTTATAGTGACAATTTGGTGTCTCTAAGAAGAGATGTGATAGGAGAGGTAATGAGTGTTTACAAAGATTCCTGTCCCAGTCTAGAGGTAAAAGAGTTAGTTATTGATCCTAAAGAACTAGCCTATCCTGTGAATACACCAAGAGAAAGGACAGTGTATAGTGTAAAAGTTGTGATGTCTGCTATTGTCAAGAGAGAAGAGTTTTTAGTAAATGCTACTGGTACTAGACGTACAAGATTGAAGGAGATCCTAACTGATGAATCATTATCAGATATTAGTAACCTGTCACTATTAGGAGGACAGGATATTAAGGTAAGAATTAACACACACAAACTGTTTGATACATTAATACAAGCACTAATAATCAAAAGGTCATAACTTTATTTTTTATCGAAGTTACTCAGTCTTTGTCATAATTGTGGGTTGTCATTGTGTTGCTTTTACAACTAATAATATATACTTATCTCCTTGATAAACAAGCACAGTGACAAATATCAGTTATTATTATTATTATTATTATTGTATAGGAAGTGATTGAAGTAACTGAAGAATTCAAGACACCATTGACTCCAATAAACCTAGGTATGTTAGTATGACAATTGTCAAGTAGTGGGAGTGTAGACTGTACAGTGTATATACACATTATTAATTATTATTTTTATAGATATTAATGATCTTGATATTGTCATTAAAGAATTAACATCAGATCAACACTTGCCCTGTGCTGTATGGCGTAGACTAGGTCTACAGTTAGGATTATATGATCCTAGACTAGTGGATATAGACACTGACTGTAGAGGACAATCAGAGCATTGCTTTCATGCTTGTATGTCTGCCTGGTTAAGAGGAGATGATAAAGTGAGAGAGAAAGGAGGTCCCAGTTGGTCATCATTAGCTACAGCACTGGATACAATAGAAGAGAAGCCTGTTGCTAGTTACATTAGAGATAAATATTGTTAATAATTAGTTAGTGGATGATTGTCTATAGTATTTCATTTTGTTCTGTTTATTATTATTTTTGCTGATACTTACTGTTTCATTTATTAATTAGTTGAGTTGTAAAAGCTGAGCTGTCATCATGTACTAATTTCCCTATCTCTATAATTAGAATTATCACTGATAGTATCAAACTATGTTTATTATTAGTAACATTGCTATTTGAATAGTTACTGTTAGTTTCAAATTATGTTTATTATTAGTAACATTGCTATTTGAATAGTTACTGTTAGTTTCAAACTATGTTTATTATTAATGTTGTTATTGGTATAGAGTTACTATGAACTATGAACTATGATGCTATAAACTAGTGGATATTATTTGATTTATAACCATTTAAGCTTACTACATAGCTTAAGCATTTCTTGACAAATTTTAGACCAACTTTAAAAATTTGTTGAAAATCCAATTTTAATTAGAATCAGCTCAAACTTTCTGCACGGCATACATGTAAGTACATGTACATATGCATCAGTAAAAGTACAGATTCCATGCATTCATAATGACACTGTGTGTGCTGGTGACCACTATAGCATTAGCTGTAACTGCTAGAGTAGGCAATGACTGCTGCTCAAAAATATTTTGCAAAAAATAAGAATTGTAATGAATGACTAAAAGTCATTGTGTCTTCATAAATCTCTTGCTTGTTAAGTATCGTATCACTTGAGGTCTCATCTTTATTTCAGCTTGAGCCAATCAATGATGATATTAAGATTTGCTATGAGTAGTTACTGTCAGTACAGTCTTGTTATATTCTTCTTGTATGTAGTGCTCTTAGCATCACTAGCAGTAGTAGCCACTAGTGATCCCAGGCAGCGCCACGTGGAGGTGGCACTACATTGCTGCCCAACCTGTATAATGATAGTTAACAGTATATATTGAAACTAACTGAATGGACTTCAACCTTTAAAAGGAACTTGGTCTTAACAAAGAAAGGTTATACATGACAATATTGATACTATACTGTAAGATCTTTAGTCTTTCAAACAGTAGCTGTAATACCTTAAATAAATGTAGATTAATGCATTTATATATGTACATGTTAGGAAAATACTTGAACAGTGAGATATCCCACACA